ATATATATATATATATATATATATATATATATGCAATATGAGGTCATAGACTTTTATGATAAGAAGAAACTTTGAGACTGTTTAATTCGGGGGCTTTCACATTTTTGACCGAGACCAACAGTAGGGAATGCATTAATATCACAACCTAGTACCTACACAATAGAAGCAACAGTTTAGTAAGTGGTACTTATCCTTGTTATATGTTTCTTTCTGTTCTAGTCTTTCATTTAAAAAAAAAAAAATTCGTGGCCATGAACTATGAATTGATTTTATGAGCCACTAATGTATGGATCATGACCTGTGGTTTGGAAGAAGCCAGGTCTAGTCCTGTCTTTTAGCCCAAACATAGTTTCTTCTTTGTTTTCCCTTTATGCCATTTACGCCCTGAGTTCATCCAGGTCCTTTTTAAATACTAGCGTGGCCAGCGCCTGCTGCATCACAAGGGGAGCACATTTCACTCGAACAGCTGGACCATGGCTGTCGTCGTTCCACTCAGGCCGTCAGTCACAGGCTCCCCGAGTCCGCGTGACTCCCCTGCCCAGTACCAGCCAGCTGGGGAGCAGGCTCCTGGGCTGCAGAGACTCGGCGGGGCCCCTGTCTCCGGGGCGGGCCAGGCTGTTTTACAGAACGTTGAGGAGAATGTCCTCTGCTGGGCTTTTCTAGAAGTCTTTCCTTTGCCACCTCAAGAACAATCACAGAAAATTACTCCTTTCTTCTTTCCTGGCTATCAGCTTCTCCGTGGCACACCCACTCCATTGCCTGCCTTATGTCCAAACCGAAACGCTGGGTTAGACCTTGTAAGTTTCTCAGTGTCAATGTCAGTTGCACACACTTCATGCTTAATATAAGGAATCTCGAATTTTTAACATTTTAGATTTTTTTAAACACAGATTCTAATTCAGTTGATAATTCAGATTATTAAAACACAACATGGGCTTCTCATCTAGGCCTGAAATAAGGACACGCCCTTCTGAATTGTTTGATGTAGTCTCTTTAAAAGGAGGCATTAACCACCTATTTAGTGCATCCACTTGTGTATTTTTAGAAGGGCATGGTGCCCGATGACGCTGTGGAAGCCTTGGCCGGTAGCCTGGGGAAACGGGAAGCAGACCCAGAGGATGGAAAGCCTGTGGACGATAAAGTCAAGGTAATGGCAGCTCAGATACTTCTAGAAAGTAACTATCATTGATTGCCCTCAGTTCCCAAATAAGTTAGTCAATTTTAAAAATATTTCCCATTACACATGACCAGCTGGCTTTCTCTGTTACTGTGTATCCCCTGCTTCATAAGCTCCACCCGAGCGAGCATCAGGTGTGAGCACAGCCGTGGGGGGACAGCATGCACGTGTCCGAGTCCTGGGCCTCACCTTGGCCACCTGCGTTCCTGTTGCTGAGGACTCGGGAGAGACGTGGCAGTTGCCTGCTGCTGCTCAGGACTTCCTTGTAGCCCCACAGGCCTAGTGGTGGAGTCTGAGCCCGCTAACCTGGATACAGTGTTAGAGATTAAGGTGCTGTAGGTACTCGACACCTGTGGTCATAGGTACATGCTAACCCAGCGGTGGCTACAGTCACCGCAGCTTCAGTCGTTCAGGCGTCCACTCTGTGGAGAAAAGCTGCACTAACAATGGAGGTGGTATCCTCTCTGTCTAGGAGAAAGCCAAAGAAGAGGACCGTGAAAAGCTCGGTGAAGAAGAGGAAACAATTCCTCCTGACTACAGGCTGGAAGAGGTCAAGGTAAATCGGCTGCGGTATTTTTCTTCTGTATTTTAATGCACACTGAATTCCATATTTCCAACACCAAATAGTATTAGTCCACTAATATCCTTTTAGTGCACCAGATATGACGCTAAGATATTCCTAACTGGCCTTCTAGCCCTCCCTGCAGTGAAAGAAATCGAATATCTAAGCTACCTAATTTTTCCTGTCTAATGCATGGTATGTTACAATAGCAGAAATTAGAAAACTTAGAAAACCTTCGTATAGATAGGAAAAGGAAGAACAGTTGTTTCCTATGAGGAAAAATTTGCAACTTTTAGATACAGGTATCTAAATGTCTAAAAATCAGAGCGCCATTTCTTTATTTTGAATGTACAGATTGTTTAGAACAAGTGTCGCGGGGGAGACCCCACTGTGAACCTTGAGGTTGAAGCACAGCCACTTGAACAGGGACCGATGCATGGACAATAGAACAAATGTCAGCCGTCTTCTTCATAATGTGCCATTTCTTGAGAGGGTATCCAACTAAGCTTCATTAACAACTCAGGAAGATCGATACTCCCCTCACGCACCCATGTGCACTAGTCCATTGGTCTGGCAAAGATGGGAGCTGTATTGAGCTCTCCCAGGTTGAGTTTATTATTCTGCTTTCCTCTGCATCCCACAGTTCAGTTGCAACCATGGCATTTCTAATAATATGGGCTTGTGTGTTTGCTGTTGCAAGGTTGTTACAGAGCTTCTTAGGAGTCACATGTTCTGTCCCTCCTCACCCCCCCACACACCTATTTCATAAACACAGGTAACTATTTTCTTCATCAGATGTTGGTTGTTTTCTCTCTCCCCCTTTGCTGAATTTTAGTGGCAGTTTTTAAGAAAGCGGTTGATTGGCTTAGTTTCATGCTCTTCTGGACTGGCTGATCTCACACATAATTACTTATCACTTTATAAAATTTTCATGGGGGTTGGCTTGAGCTCTTGTTTCGATCCTAATCTGCTGTTTATCAGCTATGCTCACATCAGGCCTCTGCAGTGAGATTCAGCTTCCTGAGGGCAGCCCACGAGCGTCCCCTTCCAGACACGGGGGATCAGTCTGTGTGTGCGGTGGGCGTGTCCCCGATGGTCCCCTGTGCCACTCGGGAAATTTGCTGCCTTTGCAGCTAAGGGATGGTGGAGAACAAGCCCAGGTTCTGCTTTCCCTCCCGACTGAAGAATAAATAGAAGGTACCAGTGAAGCTGCAGAGATGGAAAAGGGCAAAGGAGTTTGTCAGTCCAGGGGAAACAGGCAATGCTCGACACCACTGCACCTTTTCACATTTTAAATAAAACAAAAATCACCTTGGCCAGTCTATCAGGAGAAGTATGTATGTAGCCTTGCCCTTGTTTTTGTGTATGTGGATAAATGGGATTTACCATTTATTTATAAATCTTCTTTCACTAAAGAGTCACAACAGCTTTATTAATTGTCCTGTGACTCAGACATGAGTGGACCTTAGAGTCATTAGAAGCTTGGCATCATCTCAGCCATAAGTTTCAGAGCATCCCACCCACAGGATGAGCTCCCAGGGGCAGGGGCTTGGTCTGTGCTAGTTCCTGTGGTATTCCCAGTATTTACTTGCAGGGCTGGGCACGTAATCAGTGTGTGTTAATTGGACGTGTTGCCTGTAGCATTAACCTGCTTTTTCCAAGCAACTTCTGCAAAGCCCCCCAACCCCTGGGCTCATTCCCTGTGCTCCCACAGTGTCCTGCGGGTGCCATGTGCCACACTACATGAACTGTTCACTTTTTTTCTGGCACTAGTTTGTGGGCACCTGAGGACATAGGTCGGGCCCAATCTACTTTGTAGCCCTTGTGTCTAGGGAATGTCTGGTATATGTGAGCTGTTTTTTACCATGAACTAATTATGGCGTAGTCTCTGGTGAGAGAGTCTGTTTCCTGAACTGATGAATCTAATTGATAATGTACAGCAGCATCTTGTATAACCTGATAATGTTTACAGGGGCTCATATTTAGGATGAATGTGAAATGACTCAGTGCCATGTTTTTCTCCCCCTGGACAGGACAAAGATGGAAAACCACTCCTGCCTAAAGAGTCCAAGAAGGAATCGCTTCTAGTAAGCAAGCCATTTTCTCTGAGTATATCATTCTCTTTGAATTACAATCCCTGATTATAATTCAGGAAGGGCATAGCTTTCTTTTTAATGAGTTGATCAGCTTATGAACAGTAACATCATTTTGAAGAGGAGACAAATGAGGTATGTGATACATGTCCTCTGTTCTTGCAGCCCTTGAGTGAAGACTTACTCCTTGATGCCTTGTCTAAGGACTTCATTGGACTCCCCGACACTTCACCGCTTGTAAGGCTGAAACTCCTGTTTTTATTTCCTTACTTTTCAAGTGGCAGGAATAAATGGAAACTCGTGACTTAGAATCTGACGTGGGAGCTGAGGAAACAATCACAAAATTAATGGCCCTCAACCCACTGTAGCCATTAAAACTGTGTTGCATCATGAAATACTAGATATTGTTCCAGCACAGTGAATATTTTCAACAGTGTAACTAATTAAACCAGTGAGCAGGTACTCTATCAAGTACACCTATGAAAATAAAATTTAAAATTGTGTTTATCTAAAATTACTTCTTAGACAACTTTACCAGTTGATACTCTACAATTTGGTCATTTTCCAAATAACCTCCAGGGAAACTTAGCTTCCTGTGGAAGATAGTCCCTCGAAGTTTGGGAAATGCTGGGTAACAGCAGGTTTTGCAACTGTAGGATTTTCAGGACTCTTTGTTTGAGAACATATTGTAAGTCTGTTGCAGTTGCCAAATTTATTTAACTGCAGAACCTTTTTTGTGGTGTCTGGGTTTTTTAATCCTATGTGGACAGTGGCATGAAAAATATATATCAATTGAGAAAAGAATAAGTGACAAGTAGGAAAAAAGAATGATTCCTTGGTGTTGCCTGAAGTTTTTGCTCTCACATTTGTACGTAACATTATGTATGCTATGTAAATTTCTAAGTAACACATTAGAAAATATAATTATCTAATGAGATGTCAGACTTAAAGAAAACTACAATAGAAGAAATGAATAAAAAAAGTAACATGAAATTAAAACTCGTACATCTAAGAGTTTGACTAAATGTCTTAAAAGTATGATGACAATATTTTTGTTAAAATAGCAATAAGTTATTTTATATAATTCAAAGGTATTCTGAAATATATGTGAAAAATGAAGGCATAAAAATATGAAAAAATACTGACAAGCTTTCTTATACAATAATGGTTTAAAAAATACAGTTCTGATTCAGAATGCAAAGTCACAGATCAGTGGAAAAAGAAATTGAGAAATGAACATAAATGACAGATTTAGTATATTTTTGAAATGAGAGAAGAACTCATTTCAGAAAGATTCTGGAATAATATTTAACATTAAGAAAAAAATAATAAAATTGAAACCTTATAACATTTAGCAGGTAACAGTAGAGCATCCTTATACCTAATGTATTATCAGAATGTAAAATATGTGATACATACCTAATTTAGGTGAGCAAGGCCATGGGAAACAGGCACGCACATTCACTGCTTTTCGCAGTATGAATTCCTGGCAACTTTTGAGAGGGCAGTTTGGCTGAATATAGTTAATACCATAAAAAGAACTACTACTAGAACTCTGATTCAGGGCAACTAATTACAAAGAAGAAAGCTGAAAAACTGCAATCTAAAAGTACAGTAAGAAATGTGTAAATAAACCATGAAGCTCTAAGCCATTAGATTATTGAACACCCTTTAGAATAATAAATAATAGGAAGTTGTAGAAAATAATACAGTGGAGTAAGAAATAGAATAAAAATTCTTTTTAAGATTCTGTGTTACTATGCGTTCATTTGGATCAAGAAACTTAATCACAAAGCTATATTAAGAGTTGTATTCAAGTGATGGTATTGTGAAAATAATTTTGTATATAACATATTAGTGATCAAAATCTCTCTCTCTTTTTAACAAAAGCCATTTGACAATGCTAAACTCTCAGCTACTGTCTCTGAAGTGGTTTCCCAAACCCCAGCGGCAACCACCCGCTCTGCAGGCCCATCCCCTGCCACTCTGGTAAGTAGCACATTTTGTAAATATTTATTTTCACAACAGCACCAAAAAGGAGGAAAATAGGACTCCTCTTTAGAGTAAGTGGAATTAGACAAAAATTGTTAGGAAGATTGGGCACCTGCAGAAGAGATAAGACTGGTGATTTAGAGAAATGACAGAATATTGAAAATGATTACATGAAACAATATATGTGAAAATATTTTAACCATAGTTGAGGAGCTTAAATTGTTGCTTTATAGAATTGAAAGTGCAGTGTGCATTGTCTGTATATTTGAATTNTTTAAAAAATACAGTTCTGATTCAGAATGCAAAGTCACAGATCAGTGGAAAAAGAAATTGAGAAATGAACATAAATGACAGATTTAGTATATTTTTGAAATGAGAGAAGAACTCATTTCAGAAAGATTCTGGAATAATATTTAACATTAAGAAAAAAATAATAAAATTGAAACCTTATAACATTTAGCAGGTAACAGTAGAGCATCCTTATACCTAATGTATTATCAGAATGTAAAATATGTGATACATACCTAATTTAGGTGAGCAAGGCCATGGGAAACAGGCACGCACATTCACTGCTTTTCGCAGTATGAATTCCTGGCAACTTTTGAGAGGGCAGTTTGGCTGAATATAGTTAATACCATAAAAAGAACTACTACTAGAACTCTGATTCAGGGCAACTAATTACAAAGAAGAAAGCTGAAAAACTGCAATCTAAAAGTACAGTAAGAAATGTGTAAATAAACCATGAAGCTCTAAGCCATTAGATTATTGAACACCCTTTAGAATAATAAATAATAGGAAGTTGTAGAAAATAATACAGTGGAGTAAGAAATAGAATAAAAATTCTTTTTAAGATTCTGTGTTACTATGCGTTCATTTGGATCAAGAAACTTAATCACAAAGCTATATTAAGAGTTGTATTCAAGTGATGGTATTGTGAAAATAATTTTGTATATAACATATTAGTGATCAAAATCTCTCTCTCTTTTTAACAAAAGCCATTTGACAATGCTAAACTCTCAGCTACTGTCTCTGAAGTGGTTTCCCAAACCCCAGCGGCAACCACCCGCTCTGCAGGCCCATCCCCTGCCACTCTGGTAAGTAGCACATTTTGTAAATATTTATTTTCACAACAGCACCAAAAAGGAGGAAAATAGGACTCCTCTTTAGAGTAAGTGGAATTAGACAAAAATTGTTAGGAAGATTGGGCACCTGCAGAAGAGATAAGACTGGTGATTTAGAGAAATGACAGAATATTGAAAATGATTACATGAAACAATATATGTGAAAATATTTTAACCATAGTTGAGGAGCTTAAATTGTTGCTTTATAGAATTGAAAGTGCAGTGTGCATTGTCTGTATATTTGAATTATTAGATTTTAAAAGTTCTTTAGCTTTCCTGATCATTTTCTCCTTTTTTATATTTTTCTTAACACATGCTGTAAATACTATCCATTATTTAACTTTATTTTATGGAATTGGTCAGTGTTTGAGCTTCTGCCCCCCCCAAAACTTAACAAACATGTCCTGGAATAGAGTTGTTTTTCCTCCCATTCACACCAGTAAAAATTTGTCATTTTCATGCTAGCAGTAGAAAAACCTCAGCATCAATACTGTTTTAATTATTTACATGTTCTGAGGCAAGACGGAGGGATCAAAGTTCTCCCAGACTTCCTTGATTAATTTTCTGTGCAGTACCAAATGTGAAGTTATCGAGGAGACCACGGCACATCAAAAGATAGAGATTGCCCTAAACCAGACCCCCATCTCCTTTGGTTGAGAAGTGCCTGGTTTGCTAGATGGAGATGAAGTAGTTTTAGTGAAGTCAGCTATGCTTCCTTTCCTTTTGATGTAGCATCAAAGCTCACTTAGTGCTGTAGTCAGAGATTCTGAATGAATTTTCATCCTGTTGGGTCAGCCTCAGGAGCATCTGAAAATATCCAGAGGCACAAATGACAAAGCCCAGACCCGGCAGGGGCAGCTCCACCATTAGCAGCTATAATTCTGAGCTCTCATGAAGCACTTAAAACTAGTAAAATGCTGTGTGTGTGTGTTTGTGACACACACATGATGAAAGCCCCTGTGCCACAGAAAGGAAGAATCATTAATAACCCAGGCTGCCGTTGACATTTCAGTTCTTAATACTCAGGTGAGAGGCTCTGCCCTGACTGAGGCTATTAGTATATATCCACAATCAAAAGCCTTTTTTTTTTAAAGCAAAAAGATTCCTAATTTTATTCTTTCAATTTTTTATTTTTATTTTTCAATTACAGTTTACATTTAATATTATTTTGAATTAGTTTCAGGTGTACAGCATAGTGGTTCGATAATCATACTTTACAAAGTGTTCTCACCTCCCCCAATATTTCCAGTAGCCACTTGGCACCATATATAGTTATTAAATATTATTAACTTTATTTCCTATGCTGTACTTTACATCCCCATGACTATTTTGTAACTGCCAACCTGTTCTTCTCAGTTCCTTCACATTTTTCACCCAGTACCCCAATGCTCCTGCCTCCTGGCAGCCTTCAGTCTGCTCTCTGCATCTGAGTCTATTTCAATNTTATTCATGTTGAATTCTTAAAGTCTGAAACATTGTGAAAATAAAATGAGTGGTAGCTACTCTTGTTGCTGTTGTCATTTTATGTCTTTCTCTGACTCACTTATTTCACTTAGCATAACACCCTCTAGGTCCATCCACACTCTCACAAATGGTAAGATTTTGTTCTTTTGATGGGCACTTGGGTTGCTTCCAAATCTTGGCTGTTGTACATAACACTGCAATGAACATAGATTAGTGTTTTGGGTTTGTTTGTGTTTTTTTATCTTTATTGATTTCAGATAGAGGAAGAGAGAGAGAGAGAGAGAAACATCAATGATGAGAGAGTCGTCATTGATCGGTTGCCTCCCGCACGCCCCAACTGGGGATCGAGCCCGCAACCCGGGCATGTGCCCTGACCGGGAATCGAACTGCGATCTCCTGGATCCTAGGCTGATGCTCAACCGCTGAGCCACGCCCGGCCGGGCGGGTTTCTTTGGATATATACCCAGAAGTGGAATTTCCGGGTCATAAGGCAGCTCCATTTTTTATTTCTTTGATGAGGCTCCATACTGTTTTCCATAGTGGCCACACCAATCTGCATTCCCACAAGCAGTGCACAGGAGTTCACTTTTCTCCACAACCTCACTAACACTTGTTTATTGATGGAGCCATTCTGACAGGTGTGAGGTGATGTATCTCATGGTGGTTTTAACTTGCATCTCTCTGATTAGTGACAATGAGCATCCTTTCATATGTCTGTTGGCCATCTGTCCTGTTTGAAGAAGTGTCTATTCAGTTCCTCTGCCCATTTTTAATTGGATTGTTTTTTGGTTGTTGTATGAGTTCTTTATAAATTTTGGATAGTAACTCCTCTGGTTTTATCATTGGTAAATATGTTCTCCCATTTAGAAGGTTGTCTTTTTGTGGTGTTGGTTTCCTTTGCTGTGCAAAATCTTTTTAGTTTAATGTAGTCCCATTTATTTTTTTTGTTTCTCTTGCCCAAGGAGATATATCATAAATATTGCTAAGAGAAATGTCAGAGATTTTACTGCGTATGTTTTCTTTTAGGATCTTTATGGTTTTGAGTCTTACATTTAAGTCTTTAGTGTAAGAAGGTGGTCTAGTTTTTTTTTGTTTTTTTTTGCATGTATCTACCTTTCACAAGTATGTTTTAGAATGATACCTTATCAGTTTTTACATCAGAGGGTCTAGTTTTAGTTAATATTTTATTTGGAGCCATCACTAAAAGTAGGTATAATTTTTATTTCAATGAATATACTTGGGAATCAATGAGTAAACTAAGCTATAATAATTCATATGAGTTTTCAAAAGCATCTTAAGACATATTTCCCAGCAAATCAGGCTAGGGAACCCCATCTTTTTAGGAGAGACCTGTTTTCTTGGAAGGTGAAAGACATCAGGGGGTAGGGCAAGGGTAGACAGGTGCTGAGAGGCCACTGAGAGCTGGAGGGCAGGGAGAGAAAACACTGAGCAAGGGTTGGCAGTCCAGTGCCTTCCACTCACCCTGTCCATCTCCCTAGTGAAAATCCTTAAGTCTTAGTGGCAGTGCTGGGGCCACACTCCAACAGGTGACCTGATTTGGACAACCAGTGACTAATTCAGATTTACTTTTAAACAGAGGCACGACAAAGAAATCGATGACGCCCTGGATGAACTTTCTGACAGTCTAGGGCAAAGGGAGCCTGATCCAGATGAGGGCAAACCATTAAAGGATAAAGTCAAGGTAAAGGAAAAAAATAAATGAAAATTTCAGATTTCTTTTCATAGCATAAAATGCCCTGGACTCTCTACACAAAAAGAAAAATAACACTTCCAACTTTATCTGGAGTTAATGAACAGTTGGATAACTGTCTCATTTTTTCCCCTGGGGTCTGTGTTGTATTTCTTTACTCCTCGATGAGGACTATGCTGTGTCACAGGTTCAGGCAAATGTCTTCTTTGTGGGACCAAACCTCGTTATGATGGAAGAGGACAGCTCTGCTTTGTTAATTTTTATTCTCTCCCCACATTGACTGTTCTGGGTTTTATCTGGTAGACAGCACCCGTGTGTGTGCATTTCTTAGGTTGACACATTCTGTGCGTGGAGTGGCAGAGGTTTCCCCAGCAGCCTTCTCTGCTGTCATAACTAACTGCGTGCAGAGGTGTGTCTACAAAGCACAAACTGTTAACTCTCCATATTTTATACAACATGTATAAGTACTTATTTATGCTTAATATACAATATTCAACAATCCATTTAGCTTGGAACCAGGAAGTAACTGACCATCCAAATTGGTGTTCCAAAGACAAGGCATTTCAAAGACTCGTTATGTCTTGATTCTACCATTCTCATAGGAATATTGATGCAAACTTTACATGTGAGAAATAAAATTATAAAGATGCAGAAAAANGAACCAGGAAGTAACTGACCATCCAAATTGGTGTTCCAAAGACAAGGCATTTCAAAGACTCGTTATGTCTTGATTCTACCATTCTCATAGGAATATTGATGCAAACTTTACATGTGAGAAATAAAATTAAAATGTAAAGCACCCCCTTCCTGAGCGGGGGAGTTAGTGTCACTGAGTTTGAGAGGCCAGCCGCGGAGCCGGGCTGTCGGTGCCGCTTGCTTAACGGCAGGTATTTCCTCCCCTGCAACACAAGCAGTCAGCACATCTGTTCAGATTTGCTACGCGTCCTGGTCCTTCAGGGCTGCTTATAAATAGTGGTTACCCCTCTAAATGCCAAGGTACAATGACTTGATTTTTTTAATTTGAAAAGTGAAACTCACAGAAAGATATTTTATGCTATTGGGTTTTATCTCTTTATGTGGTTTCTGAGGATAATTATTTAATCATTTCAGTTTAAAAGACAGGTAGAAAATTCACAGATGCAAACTGACATATAGAAGCACATGGATTTACTTTTTGTCATCAACTAATATAGTCTGTTCAAGTCATGCATTTTGCATTTTGTTCTCTTAAAAAATAAAAGCAGACCATATGTTTTGCCTCAGAAAAGTATAATAAATGCAGAATTCTGCATTTCAGAATGTATTCTATAAGCAAAAGAGGAAAGGAGTATTAATTGTACCCATTCAATGTTTATAGGAAAGAACTAAAGCTGAACATAGAGACAAGCTGGGAGAAAGAGATGACACTATCCCACCTGAATACAGACATCTCTTGGATAACGATGATAAGGTAAGTGGAGGTTAGATTGGATACATAAGACAAAGCTTTTTAAATATAAACCTCACTTGAAATGAATAGGAGGTGCACTTTAACAACAGCATAAAAATGTAACTTGACTGTTTTTAATGTGCCCCTGTTGAGCAGGCTGTCCGGGATTCTATTTAATATTTATTTACACCAGTATCATTTGATGTTCAGGTATGCTAGACACCATGGCATACAGAGTTGAATAATGTTCATTCACTCACTGATACTCAACAGTTATTCCAAGGCATGTACACAGATGAATTCTTTTTACAAGAAAAGGCTATAAAAGTGAATAATGATATTTGTAATCCTAACTGAAGCAGAGCCTCTCTATTTAAGGAGCTAGCATTGGAATAATTAATAGAGGCAAATAAGTCACCTCCAAACCTGGGGTCTCCCTTTCTTCCTTCTACACCACCACCACCAGCACCGTTGAGAGTGAAGACAGGCAAAACCATATCCTCAATCACGAGTCCTATTTGTATATCTAAACATACTGTCAAGAAATTCTAGCCTTTTGCCTCTAACATGGAAGCCAGTTTTTCTTAAGTCAACTTGGCCTGTATCTCTCTCACCTATTTAGCTCCTACTTGTAAGTCAGTTAGCTGATAAATAACCCTTTCCAGGCCTGTTCATCATATATAAACAAGGAAGTCAAATTACATCCGTCTTTCTGTACTGCTTCATTTGATTTAAAGGGGGTTAGCAGCTCGAGTGTCCCTCTTACAGGAATTAATTCCTGTTTGTTTAGTATTCCTCAAGATAGCAATTCTGCACCCTGCTTTGATAGTACCACCTGACCCTGCTTGGATTCTTTGGGAAATGGATTATTTAATGTCCTTGACTTATAGATGGGGAAAATCCCTGATGAGTTGTGCTCGTAATCCTGACTGAAAAACAACTAATGTCTCTGCAGACTGCTCCTCAAATCCCTCTGAGCTATAATAAGTTCCAGTAAATAAGACATAAACATAAAAACACAAGTTGCTTTTTGTAACATTTTAAATAGAATTATAACACATGATGGCAGAAAGTTCCTAAGTAATTAGTGTTTCTTTCACTTCCAGGACCAGACTCTCATTCTTGCATTTTCCCCATCGAAATCGTTACAGGGTGGTAATTAAGCAAAGCTGGTGGAGAACAGTAAGGACCTAGGTTAATCAGTGGTTGCAAATATATACTCCCCAATTCAAGTCATTGGATAGTATAGATTTATATATATACTGACTACACCTAAGTAAACCTTTACAAAAATTTATGACTAATCAGTCGTCTGCTTTGCTTTTAAGGACAAACCAGTGGAGCCACCCACAAGGGAACCAAAGGTAAATACCATAGCTGCATGTTTCTATAAAAAGGTTATTTTTTATTCTAGCTGCAACTTTGACAGTTCAGAAGTATTTATTGAATGCCTGCCCTGTGCTTGGTGTGATGCCAAGAGCATTTAAGAGTGTAGTATCTTTCTTTCATTCATCTGGTCTTCCCAAGAACTCTTCAAAATAGGCAGTTTCCTTTTCCATATTAGAAAATCAAGGCTCAGAAAATACANGTGATGCCAAGAGCATTTAAGAGTGTAGTATCTTTCTTTCATTCATCTGGTCTTCCCAAGAACCTTTCCTTTTCCATATTAGAAAATCAAGGCTCAGAAAATATGAAGCAACTTGCTGGCAATATTCTCCTGTTTCAGTATCTCCTTTGTAATCCATTACTTCGCTAGGAAAAGAATGATGGGGGAGAAGGCACTGTACAGCATTTCTGCCTTGGTTTCTCCCCTGATGGTTATTTCTGTTAATGTCTCAGAAACCTGCAGACGATCAAGACCCCACTGATTCCCTCTCAGAGGATTTCGACAGCTGTTCTTCAAGTACAGAGACTTCAGAGAACACAACAAGGGTACTGCGCTTTTCCATACTGACTTTCTTTGAATGTGTCTTCCTGCACGTGTACATAAAGTGAATTGAATGATGCCCTAGGGGACTTGAAAACAGAAAAAATATAAATTCTACTACCCTGCAAACACTACTCAGTACATTTGTCGTCTTCCATCTGTCTGTATTTTACATGGTTGTACTTAGAGTCCATAAGATACATTGCTAACATTATTTCATAGGTGTTTTCCATGTTGCCTCTCTATTGCTGTCATTTTTGATTGCCACACTATATTACTGTCCAACAATAATGCTGTGTGTTCATTTCAAATGAAAGCTGTCCCTTAGTACAACCCACCTTCCCATACCCACTGCCCTGGGGCTTCCTCTCCATCCCTGGGGGCCCAGCTCAACCGTCAGCTCTTCAGGAAGACTTCTCTTACCACTCCTCCCTTCCCAGGCCCCAGCTGGAAGCCTCTCCTTCCCTGCCATCTAGGTAACTTCTGGCTTACCTCTAGTCTCATGTGTATTACACCACCAGGTGTGTACTTTATAGTAGTGAAGTGTCTTTTACCTCCGTGCTCAGCTTTAGCAAAATGCCTGGTATATAGCAGATGCTCGAAATGTGATTATTAGTGAATGAAAAAGATAATGTGTAAATCAACAAATGTGTGGCATTTTACCTACATATTATACCCTTCCATAAATCAGAAGAAAAAGTGAAATGACTGTCCTTGTTGTTTTCAGAAGAATTGTTTTAGAGGTCTCGGTTTGCTATTGCTTTGGCTGGTATTAAGCCTATCTCCCACTCACTGAATTTCCAGTCCTTCCCGTGTTGGGCGATTTAATTTCTAGTCTGCCTCCGCGTCTGATTTCTCACTCCTAGAAACTCATAAATATGCCTTTTTGGTGAGTGGACTTTATTTTTATATGCAACTTACCCCAGCTGTCTGTGGTTGTCTCCATTGTTCCCTTTCTCTTTGTAACACTGAAAACAACGTCCTGTTCTTATTCTGTGGCAAAGGAAAACCAATCCCAAGAGAAACGAGCTCTGTTTTGATGAGCAAAATAAGTTCTCAGTGAGTCATGCCAATTGGACCCCCATTTTCCTCATTTTTATCATTTTTACCTCCTACCTAATCACTTCCATGTACATTTGCCATTGTTCAAAAACCTGTAACTAGAACACCCAAGGTTTTCCATTATTTAATTAAATTAGAGCTCTCCAGGCTACTAAAACGAGTAGCCTGACTTGGTTTAACTGTAGCCAGTACTTAATTGCTAGATGGATTAACGTTAGCAATAGCCGCATTACCTTTTCTTTCCTTTGCTTTAGGACAAAGACAAGAAGACTGCTCCCAAGCCCAAAGCACCCAAGAATGGGGGGAAAGCAAAGGATTCTGCAAAGGTAAACGGAGCAGTTAAATATATTGCAAATTTGTTTAGGAATTACCTGAAGTGGCATTTATCCTTTTAGTCATTAAATTTCTGATTGGAATCTATTTAGAATAAAAATTTAAGCATTAAACACTATCCCGTAGCCTGTCTTGGTAAAGAAATGGAAGTTTTAACGACTTTTTTAAAACTAACTGATACTTTAGAAATCTAAATGAACATGCTTAACAAAATTGTTAAAACACCACCAGATTCCTATGCTGATCTGTAGAATATCACATAAAGTCCTGATGAGGCCACTGGAATTTTACGGTGTCTAAGCCATCTGTGCTGGCCTGAATCATGCCCTGTGCTCGGCCCTCTTCCCTTCCAGCCTCGTTCCCCCACTGTCCGCAGACGACCTTGCCTTCTACTTCAAAGAGAAAAATCGAGGTCACCCTACAGAAAATCCCAGAGGTCCTCCTCCCACAACCCACTGACAGATCTTCCTCCCTCTCCTCACCCTTCAGCCTCTTCCGTTCTCTCAGCCGTCAATAATCCATTCTCTCCAAAACCTTCAATCTCTAGAGCCATCTCAGTTTTCTCCGCTTATAATAAATATGTTTAAGTTCCTTCCCCACTCTAAAAGCAATATTCAGACTTAATAGCCCTCTGCCTACTACCCTGTTTCCCTCCATCCTTGAAAGATCTAGGATTTCTGTTTCCTCTTCTTGAGCTCTGCCTCAGATCAGCAAGGACATGCTGGTTGCTATATCATGAATTCCTCCTTCGTTTAGTTGATCTCTCAGTAGTATGCTTTTGGGCCTTAGAATTGGTGCTGTAATGTGGTTGAGAGTTTGGGGAACGTTGGGATGGATGAATGCGTTTTGCACTTTCACTTCTTTAAAGACCCAGACGACCACTTCCAACTGAACATTCTCACTTGGATAACACATTGACAGTACAGGTTCCTATACTGCATTTCAGTAAATCTAAATTACCATCAATAGAATAAACCATTACTTTGTGTATCGTTAAGGGATAAAAGTCAGTTTGATTATGATATGCTATTCATTGTAAGAACTACTGCAAATTGAGACCTTTTAAAAGGTGAGGAAACACCACCAGAGAATGTGGTTATTGTAAATTTAAGAATATAGGAGTAGTACATAGAATTAGGGAAGATCTTAGAGTTTTTGTGATCCAAAATATTAGATACCACCTGGGAGCCAAGACTATTAGTATATAATTTTTCATGTTGCTCTAGAAAGTGGACCTAAGGCTAATGAGTGGAAGCTATAGGTTCCAGTTTCTTAGAATTGGGCATTAATGGAACAGAACAGTTGGGAGATTCTCCTATTATTGAAATTATTCAAACTGTGGTCAGTAAAGGAATGGACATTGGATTAGACAACTTCTGGGTCCCTTCCAATTCTTAAACGTGTGATGCAGAGGGTTATTACTATGATCCCCTAACTATAATGAGAAATTAAAGGTACAACTTTAAAAACAATAGTCCAGCTACATCAAAACTCTTTAAAACAAGATACTTCCAATTCAAGATGGCAAAACAGTAACGGCCTTGAATGCACCTCCTTCCATGGACACATGGAATCTAGAGCCACAGGTAAAACAATTTTCTTTGAAAAAATCTAGAAACTAGCTGAGTGACTCTTACTCACTGGGCAAATGAGAAAAACCCCCACATCAAAGCAGGTAGGAGAGGCTGAGGCACAATCTGGCCATAAACCTTTCCCCCAGCATGGCAACCCACAGTTGGGGGGAACTCAAAACCCAGAGCTTCTCCCTGAAGAACTAAGTTTGAAGCCTACATTTGATACCCTCACTTTTACGAACTGCACCTGAGACAAGGCCCCAAAACATCCAGCTTTGAAAGCCAACAAGGCACATCCACAAGACCCACAAAGCTATAGTGAACTGATAAAATGGTCCTTAAAGGGCTTGCGTGCTTGGACTCAACAACCTAGCACAGAGGCAGCAGATGGAGAGGCTTCTAGACTTTATATGAAAGAAGCTTAAGTGACTTCAGTGTCAGCCTGAAGGGCAGGCATCTAGCAACACCTGGGGCCTGGCGAATTACTCACCAGTGACAGAGGCTGATAGGGTGCCGTCTTTGATCTCTCCTTCACTCCAGCCAGCAGGTGCCATCTTCGCACTTACCCACTGTTTCACTCCAGCTTGCTAGTACCTCCTGGAATGGAGTTTTCACCCTCCTCTGGTACCTCGATGTTTGCAGCTGCTCCCAGGGGACACCTCTGTATCACCTGGTTCTGGTGGCCAATGCTACTTAACCCTTGTCGTCCCATGTCACTGTAATTTGCATACTTTAAAAGCTGCTACCTGAGGGTCTGGCTTGCAGTCAGCCTGAACCCAGGTCCTGGCTGAGATCTTCCCCCCAATGGAACACTGACAGATCTCAGCACCCCCTCAATTACTGGGAGTCACTAAAACTAAATAATCTGCTTGGACAATCACAAAGATTTGAGAAACAACCAACAGCTAGGACAAGGTTGAATGATAAGCTTCATCTCCTCCACAAGGCCACTCCCTCGAGACTGAAAGAGGTGGCTGTTTTGTCTAAGGCACAGAAACCAACACAAAGTATCAGGAAAATAAAGAGGAATGTGTTCCAAACAGAACAAGATAAAACCATAGAAAAAGTCCTTTAACCAAATGGAGGTAAGTGAGTTACCTGATAAAGGGTTCAGAATAATGGTCAGAAAGGTGCTCATCAAACACCATGAGAACCACAATGGAGAAAAGTGGGTGAACACAGAACTTCAACAAAGAAAATATAAGAAAGTACCAAATAGAAGTCACAGAGCTGAAGAATACAATAATTGAACTTAAATATACACTAGAGGGGTTCAACAGCAGACTCAAACAAAAAATGGTCAAAAGATGGCACTGGAACTCAGAGTAGTGAAAAGAAAATGAAAATAGCTTAAGGAACTTATGGGACAACATTTGCATTATAGGGGTCCCAGGAAAAGAAAGAGGCAGAAAACATATTTGAAGAGATGATGGCTGAAAACGTCCCTAACCTGGAGAAGGAAGCAAACATTCAGAGCCAGAAAGCCCAGAAAGTTCCAAATAAGATGAACCCAAAGACAACCACACTAAGACACATTATAATTAAATGTCAAAGACAAGGAGAGAATCTCAAAAGCAGTGAGAGAGAAACAACTTATGTACAAGGGGAACCCCCATAGGACTATCAGGAGATTTTCCAGCAGAAACTTTGCAGGCCAGAAGGTAATATATTAGAAGTGCTGAAGGAAAATAAAACCAAGAATACTCTACCCAGCAAAGCTGTCATTCAGAATTGAAGGAGAGAGAAAGGTTTTCCCAGACAAGCAAAAGCTAACGGAGTTCATCACCACTAAACTTGCCTTGCAAGGAATGTTAAAGGGACTTCTTTAAGGTGAAATGAAAGGGTGCTAGTTAATAACAGAAAAACACATGAAAGTGCCAATCACTGGTAAAAGTATATAGTAAAATTCAGAGTAATCTAATGATGTAAAGGTGGTGGATTAATCACTTAAAACTAGTATGAGGGTTAAAAGACAAAAGGTGAAAAATAAGTGTAACTACAGTAATTAAAGGATATACAATATAACAGGATGTAAAGTGTGACATCAAAAATATAAAGTGGGTTGTGGATGTAGAGCTTTGGAATGGATTCCAACGTAAGTTATCAACTTAAAACAGACTTTTATAAATATAGGTTGCTCTTTGTAAGCCTCATGGTAACCACACAGGTAAATGATATAGTAGATACACAAAAGGTAAAGAGAAAGGAGTCTCCGCTTACCACTACAGAAAATCATCACGTCTTAAATGAAGAGAGCAAGAAGAGAAGAAACAAAGGACCTGTAAAAGAGCAAAACACAGTTAACAAAATGGCCACAAGTACAACCCATCAATAATTCCTTTAAATGTAAATTCTCCTATCAAAAGACAGAGTGGCTGAGTGGATAAAAAAAACAAGACCCACCTATATGGTGCCTACAAGAGATTCACTTCAGATCTAAGGATACACAGACTGAAAAATGAAGGGATGGGAAAAGATATTCCCTGCAGATGGAAACCAAAAGAAATCTGGGGTAGCTATACTTAGACAAAATAAGCTTTAAAACAAAGACGGTGACTGAGAGTGATGTCAGCATCAGTCGTTCCTTTTTCCTCTCCCCTTCAATTCACAACTCTTCAGACTTTCATAACTGAGCACAGGTGACTTTGCACAGCAAACCAGGATACCTGAGGGGTCCTTCTATCTGTGCATCTGAAAATGGGTGGATTGGACCTCAGAGAAGGTGCAGAGCCAGGAGAATGGTGGCAGAGGGGGTGGAGGATGAAGGAGGTGCTTGGGGATCTTCCCAGCCATGCATGCTGCAGCTGGAGCAACCCATTGCTCTCTTGGAGGAGAGGCTGCAGTGATGACTGGGGGAGGGGGAAGGGCAGAAACAACTGAGGAGGACTTATTTCTGCTTGGGGATTACAGCAAGAAGTCTGCCAGCAGACTTCTGGGACTCCCCAACTCGAGAATCCCCCTACCAGGCCATGGGCACACCCAAAGCCCCATGTGCTAAGCACACCTCTCTCCCCACACTGCCACCAGCCTTTTTATTCTTTTAAAGCCAGCTTGTTTTTACAGGCATGCTCCCAACTTTAGCAGCAAATCAGCTCCAGTAAGAGAAACCAAAAACGTGTGCTATACTGCCAACATCTGGAAAAGTAAAAGTATTCTAATTGCCAGTCTGTTAAACAGAATCAAAGTAAACAAAGCGTTACCTAAATAACAAAGGCGTTTGTTACTCCAGATGCGATGGCAGAGGCACGTTTCATCAAACACTATGAAAAATCACAGTAATATAGTATCACAAAAAGAAAACCACAATTTTGCAGCAACTAAACTCAAAAAATAGCTCTTAGGAAGAAACTGAACCACCTATAAGAAAACTCAAGCAATTTAATGAACTCAGGAATAAAATTAATGAACAGAAGGAATACTTTATCAAAGGGATGAAAATTATAAGAAGTAACCAAACAAAAATTCTGGAGCTAAAGAATTCAATAAATGAGGTGCAGAATGCATTAGAAAAGCATTGGAAATGGAGAGAGAAGACTGAAGTAAGATTGAGCAGTCTGGAGAATAGGAATCTACTTAGAAATGATTTGGGTGGAAGAGGAGAAGGAACTAAGACTTTTTAAAAGTAAAGAAACCCTATGAGAGCTATCAGACTCCATTATAAAAACCAATGTTAAGAATAATGGGTATACCAGAAGGAAAAGAGGGCAGAGGGTTTACTTAAATAATAGCTGAGACTTCCCAAACCTGGGGGAAGAACTAGACATAAAAGCTCATGAAGCTCGTAGAACACCTTATTATCTCAGTGCAAAAAGACCTTCTCCAAGACATAGTATAATGAAACTGTCAAAAGTCAATGATAAAGAATTTAAAAGATAGCCAGGGATAAAAAGAAAGTAACCTACAAAGAAATTCCCATTAAGCTATCAGCAGATTTCCCAGCAGAAACTCTACAGACCAGGAGAGAGTGGAATGACATATTCAAAGCATTGAAAAATGAAAATTGCCAGTCAAGAATACTCATTATGGCAAAGTTATCCTTCAGATATGGAGAAATAAAGCTTTTCAGACAGACAAAAGCTGAGGGCGTTCACCACTTTTCAAGAAATGCCGAAAGAGGTTCAAACTGAAAAGCAAAGAGAACAGTACACAAAACATTGATTACAGTGATATTCAGAATTAGAAAATGCTAATTAGAAAGGTGTATTAAACAATTATAGCATAAAGGTTAAAGGAAAGAAACATTAAAAATAATTTCAGCTGCTACAATTTGTAACAAATTCACAGAGAACAGACTTGAGTGGCGAGCACACAATACAGTATACAGATGATGGATTATAAAGTTGTACACCTGAAAGTTACATAATGTTATTAACCAATGTTACCCCAGTAATTTAATTTTTTTAAAAAACAACCAGTATGCTTTGGGCACAAACAGACACAGATCAATGTAACAGAATAGAGACCAGAAATAAACCCACCAATGTATGATCAATTAATTTATGGCAAAGAAGGCAAGAATATACAATAGGAAAAGGACAGTCTTTGCATTAAATACTGCTGGGTAGACTGGACAGCCATTTGCAAAAAGAAAAGGGACCACTATCTTACACCATACACAAAAATTAACTCAAAATGGATTGTAGACTTGGACCATAAAATTTCTAGGAGAAAAAACAGGCAGTAAGCTCCTTGATGGTGGTCTTGGCGATGATTTTATGTATTTGACACCAAAAGCAAAGGCAACAAAAGCAAAAATAGACAAGTGGAACTGTATCAAACTAAAAAACTTCTGCATGGCGGAGAAAACTATCAACAAATGAAGATAACCTACCAAATAGGAGAAAACATTAGCAAATCATATCTGATAAGGGATTCGTATCCAAAATACATAAAGAACTCAGCTCAGTAGCAAAAAGCAAACAATCTGATTGGCAAATGGACAAAGGATCTGAATAGACATTTTTTCAAAAACATACAGATGGCCAACAGGTACATGAAAAAGTGCTCAACATCACTAATCATAGAAATGCAAATTAAAACCACAGTGAGGTATTGGTATCGCCTTACACCTGTTACAATGGTTATTAAAAAGGCAAATAAGTGTTGGCCAGGTTATGGAGAAAAGGGAACACTTGTACAATGTTGGTGGGAATATAAATTAGTATATCAATTTTAGAAAACAGTATGGAGGTTCCTCAAAAAATTAGAACTACCATATGATCCAGCAATTCAACTTCTATTTATCCAAAGATAATGAAAACACTGACTCAGAAAGATATGTGCACCCCCATGCTAACTGAAGCATTATTTATAAGAGCCAAGATATGGAAACAACCTAAGTGTCCATCTATGAATGAGTGGATTTTTAAAACTGTGATGTATATTTACACAATGGAATATTATTCAGCCATAAAAAAGAACAAAATCTTGCCATTTGTGACATGGGTGGACCCTGAAGGCATGAGGTTAAGTGAAATAAGTCAGAAAGACAAATAACATGATCTCACTTACATGTGAAATCTAAAAGTAGTTCATGCCATATCTCAAATCCATTTGCTAATTATTTAACTTCAGTTATACAAAGTATATGATCAACCTTTTCACAAAAAGCAGAAAGCATAATAACCCTTTATACTGAGTGGTTTAGCTGGCCAGCAATACTCCTCATTGCAGGGCAAGGAACCACTGCAGAATGAACGAACAGTTCCACCCAAGAACACATATTTTTTTCCTTCAATTACCTTGGTCTTCAAAAAAAAGTCTAGAGTAAAAAATTTAGAATCACTTAAGGTTATTTTTAGCTTATAAACTTGAAGGGGAAGAATTCATAGTGTGTTGGCTAAATAAAAAAGATAATTAGAACCATCTTATTTTCCTCAACTGACTACCACCTTCTGCCCCTTTAACTCTGAGAAGCCCATCTCTTCATAAGAATCTTCTGGTTGATCAGTTTTATGATAGATACTCAATCCAGAAAAGAGCTCATTGATGGTTTTGCTTTCCCTTTTAGGCAAAGGAGGAAACTTCCAAGCCAAAAGCTGATGAAAAAAATACAAGTTAAAGTTCACACTATTTGGTAAGTTGGGTGTTTGTTATAAATGAAGGCAAGAGTACCTTCTACCAACCTATGTGTTTGTTATAGGTGAGAGAAACTAAGTCTGCTTCTTGAGTATTTCATGTTCTTTTTATATTATTGGCATGAAATGCACATTGCAAAATCTATAGAGTGATTCCCTGACAAGGGCTATTGGAATGTTAAAAAAACAATATTCTAATAAGAGCTCTTTAAAATATTAGGCCAGGCTCTTGGAGAAAATGACCATCTAAGTCTCACTGACTCTTTGAAACCCAAAAATGTTCATGATTTTGCAGGTTACTGCGGCAAAGCAAAATCAGCATGTATTTATTACCTCTTACAGTGAAATGCCCTTATGTTATTGATACCAACACATGGTGGGTGGGGAGAAGTGTCCCTTAGGGTCTGGTGGAAATTACAGGGTTTTTGGAACCAAGGACAAAGGAAAAGATTGACCACTTTTGTTTTACTTAGAATTAAACATAGTATTTTACTTAACTACTATATGTGACTTATGAGCTTGTGTGGATGAGGGAATCTCTGAGATCTGTCGTGAGAGCTGGACCCGTAAGAAAAGGTCTTATTCTAAGCCATAAAAGCTTACAACTGCTTGCCAACCAAAGCCCAACGGGAATCAAAATGCCGGTTTTGGGTGAGGCTCTCTCACCGTGGTCCACTTTTAGCCCCTGTAAAGAGGGAAGTATACTGATGAGAACTGCTCTAACGATTTGCCCCAAAAATTTTTTAAAATTCTATTAATAATCCACTCTCATATCTATTATAGGAAATTCCTTCTTGTGTTACCCAATGCTTATGCTAAATGTTACATTTACTATGCCTTGTAACAAAAAAATAATTACATACCAAAGTGGTTCACAGGATTTTCTTCTTTGAATTTTTCAAGATATCTACGTATAAAATCTTCAGCTGGTGGTTGGTGACTTCTGAAGAACAAAAGGCTTTGACAACGTATTTTTCTGGGTGGCTTCTAGACAGTGATATTTGTGAAGTTTTTTGACATCCTAAACATCAGTTTGTTATTCTTTTCCCAGAAAGAATTGAATTTGTCTGGTTCACCTGTGTTATTGTACTGAGTATTGATAAACTTTGAGTTTTTAAAAATTGCCTTCAATTGGGAGAAAGGAACTTTATATTTCTAAGAGATATTATTTGATAGCTTCTTAAAGCAACATACACAAAAAAGGAAAAACCTTTGCAAACTTTTGCACGTTCTACACACAGTGCCTGTAAATCTCATTTTCTGTTTGCACTTAAGTTTTTGTTGTTAGCATTTGGAAAACAATGCTTTAAACATTCTTCAGTGTTTTGACTTCTCATTGCCCCTTTCCTCTTGGGCTTTTGAACTGTATTTGATGTTTCTTTGAGTTAATGTTCATAAGTCCAACATAAAATATTGTACATTGGGCATATATCTCCTCTTGGGCTGCTAATAATAAATTAATAGGTAACCTGGACAGACCAGGATGCAACACCCCCCCTTTTCAGGTTAAACTCTTCTTTGCCAAAGTTTAGGACTTCTGCCCCTTGTAGCTGGTGCAAAACATACTGAGACTTGAATCAAGTCAGAAGAGCAAGATACAGACTATATATATGTCACTGCATAGCAAGTTCCAAGAATAAAATCTTCTTAGAATATTCATATAGCTTGACTTCTGTTGGTTTACTGTGTTAAGCTGTGCTTTCCATTCACTCTATATAAAACCTGAGCAGCAACTGTTTGCTTAGAGCCGTTGCAACGCTAGTCTTTGTACTGTATAGCACCTAGCATTATGGAAGTTAGGTTTACCAAATACAAAACCAAACTTCTGCTTTAAAAAAAAGAAATTAGAATTTGAAAAGTTGCTTTCCTTCCCCTCATAGCAACTTAACAACTAGCCTCTGTTGTCCTACAACTTTGGTTTCCCAGATCTTTCTGAATGAATTATGTACATAGCATTAATGTCGATGAGATTCTGATAAATATTTGATCTTTACTTCCCGGTAGTGAATGCAGGAGAAGATATCAGGTACATATCATACATACACTGATTTGGAATTTGTTTCAGAGAGCACAGCTCTTCTTAGCATCTGTTTGAAGATTTTATTAGGACTTAGCTGACTTCACTAAGTATATCACCAATACTGTCTAATGTGGGGGGGGAGACGCAAAAATAATAGCACTGCTTGTAATGGACATCAAATTTTGTTAATACTCTACAAATTCTCTTTAAAAATTAAGCATACACCTATGAGATTTCAAACTTAACCCACTTTAACTGCTATGTCTGTACCATCAGAGACATAGGCTTTTTTTTTTATTTTATGTCTGGGAAATATAAGCCAGTGTTATGGTGACTAAACAGACCTTTTCAAGGCACTGACAAGAAAGTAAAACACATGTTTCCTTAGGGATTTTTAACTATATCTAATTCTTCCATTTGAGTATATAAAGGGGTTTGTTAAAAAAGGTAAAACCTTGGACCGACAGATGTTTGCAAGGATATGGCTGCAGTATTACTAACTTGATGCATATGTAGTATTTTTAAACAACCAAAATCCAAAGATTTAAGAAATGCCTATGAAGTATACATTTAAGGTCCTCTGAATATGCCTTTTTATTTATTAGAAATGTCTTCAAGACTTGGGTGTTTGCTAATAAGTAATGATGACTTAGTAAGTTTCAGGATCTAAAGCAGTCCTTTTTTACCCATCTAATTAGGAGGAAATAATTGCAAATATCTGCTTAGAGGTAAATAACAGACAACTTTTTATTACCAAAAAGGTTTTGCACATTGTTGTGGCAATCTTGTGTCTATTTAGGAAATGGACTTCTCCAAAAGCAAATGAAAGTAGGTTCCTCAGGTGACCAAACCAATTAAAGAAAATATTTTACATTCAAATCTTGGCTTTATGTTTTTTTTAGAAGGAAAATACCTGGGGGTAGAAATTACCAGTGATTTGTTTCTTGCACCATTAAACCATGCAATATGTATAAAAATGGAATTGTAAGCTCATTTATGTCCAGAAAAGTCACTATTCCTAGTGAAAAAATTTTGACATTTTTCATATCATTCCCTTATCTTGAAAATTCTGCGGTACATTAAAAACCTCATAAAAGATTTCACTTAGAGTAATATAAAATATTTTCAGATTCACAATACATTGTCATTTACTGGAGACTGTAATGACTTATTGGCAATCTGTTGCAATTATGAGTTATTCAGGAATTATAAACTAGGCTAAATAACCAGCAGGGAGGGGAAGAACCGCCTGCATAAGGGTCAACAGCTCTCAGGTTCAACTTCAAATGAAGTTCCTCTAGACCTGAATGTACTCTGCTATCTCAGAAGGGGCACTATCAATCAGGGTCCCTGAGGAAATAGATGCCACTCAAATTAGGATTACCTGAGGAGGGTTCCATAAAAGGGGGGGGGG